TTAACAATCGATATTAGCATAAAACATAAATCATTTTTGAGGGTTTCGAACAGTAGTGAAGAAACAACAACAAAAATTTTAATTCATTTATTGAAATATAGTTGACTATATAACGCTTTTTCAAATATTGCCAAATTGATCGTTGTATGGTTAGTCAAATTTCACTGTAGTTAATTAATCACCTACCGACGTTAGAAATTCTATCAAGCTCAGACTGCAAATACTGTAGAGAAGAAAGAGAAACTGCATACTATGTGCTTGGGGAGTGCACGGCACTGATGTACAAGCGGAAGAAACAACTAGGAGGGTGTTTCATGGATTATAAGGATTCAAGACTAGAAAAGATAGGTTCTGTCTTTTACTGTCTTCTACTGTCTTTTAATAATAATAATTCTTCATTACTATTCGAACCTTTCTAGTTTCTTTTCGTCATAAGACGCGTCAGGTTCGACAAAAAAGTTAAAATAAATTATTTTAATTTAATATGATTTAATAGTTTAACAAACAACATATTTTTTAATATGATGATAATTTAATGTTACTATTCCAAAATAGTTATTATTATAGTGCTGCAATATGGCATTATTATTTATAACATAATATATTTTTGTAAATGTTGGAAAAGAATATAGTAGTGGTCTTTGAAAACTTTACTTGTATTTAGGACGTGTGCGAGTTAGGCTAAGTTGCGTTCTAAATGAGGGAAATTCTAAGTTGTGCCTATAATGTAGTGATGCATCGATACGTGACGATAAATGGCTAAATGTGTGCAGTGCGAAAAATCCCAAAAAATTTCCCATTTGGTTTAGCATCAACTTAGCCTAACTTTCACACGTCCTTAATATTTTTCCAATAGATTTTTTAGACTTTAAGTAATAGAGTTTACTGATACCTTTCTAAAATTGCTGCTTAGAGTCTTGTTTTAGATAACTGTTCCAACAACATACTTGTTTCGTATAGTTCTTACATATTTTTCTATATATTTGTTAATAATTACCAAAATATTCATTCACTTTTTCATTTTATTTGCTTTTAAATTAAATTTTATTTTTTTTATTCTTAAACATATATGTCTAACAGCTGTACTTGTATAAAGTCATACATATAACATATAAAACTTTACTCTCTTATACTCCTTGCCAACATAATCGGGATTCACTGGCCACATCATAAATTTCAATGATGTAACATTGAAGTACATATAGGTATGTATATATACATTGCTCCCGATGAGTAAGGAAACCAAACCAATTGCTTTTAATTAAAATAGTAGTTGGTGTAGTGAGTGCTTATCAGAAACTTCTAACCATTTCTGTGGTATATCGTACCATGCAATCCTTAGTTACGTAAAATTTCTATTTAAAATCTATTTTCTTTTAGTTTAAACCTACTTAATATATAATGAAAACTTAATTTAATTAAATTTTCAAAGCAGTATTTGTTATAAAAATTTAAGAATATTAAAAAAATATATCCTTCATAAAAAGTATTTGTTTGTGATTGACACTTTAATTTTGGTAGCTAGCAAGTCATTTCCAACTGTGAGCTTCCACCCAAAGCCCGAAAAAGTTGGTCCCCAACAAAAAGTGCTCCCTGAAGGACTTTAAATTTTCCTCTTAACTCAGATGAAAGCCAATGGAGAAAAAATGTTAAAAATAGTGGCAGTCATTTTTTGTGAGTTTTTTTTTGTCAAATTCCATATTGTAAGGCGTACAATTGGCATACAAAGGACCTGAGAACAAAGGCAATTGATGAATTAGAAAACAATACAATGTAACAATAGATGGAAATGGAAAAATAAGAATATATACTCACAATAAAGAAACAAAGGAAATAATTGAGAGCTTCAATTAAAAAAATTTACTTTTAAGTGCTATTAAGGTAAGAAAATGACTTACTCTTATGAACAAGTCCTTACTGTTATGTTCCTGTTGAGCCTTTTCCGAGCATTTTTACTCTTTGATAGCTGGTGGGGTTCTGCAGAGTCCCACCCATCTCACTGATTAATTTGTGTATGCCTCATAAGCTTCGTGATTATTTAATACTGATCTAAGATCTACCCACCGCCCCGTGCGGTCAGTGATTACTCTGAGATTAGATAGTGCTACGTAGGGTAGCCTGTAGGTTTTCGCATATTGCATATAGTATTTTTAGACCGGATCGCAAGGACTTGTATGACTATAGACTATTCTACTATTCCATAGGCACTATGCCGACAATAGCGCACTGTTGCTGTTGTAATGAAAAAGTGTACTTCGAATTAGACAAATTTAAGCAAATGTTGCATAGAATTTCAATTTTGTTAGGAAAATGTAATAATTTATATTCGTGCAAATTGACTGAAGTGTGAGTCGAAGTGTCAATACGAAGTGTAGTGTAAATTGGGTGAATGTACACTGCAATGGAAATGGAAAATGAAGTTTCAGTATCGTTCTAAGTAAAATTTATGCAAATTTTTAGAGTAAAAAATCGAAAAAAAATATATTATGAAAAATATGCTACGCTGATCAAATGAAGAAAATATTTTACACATTTCCGTTTTATTTTCTGCTTGGCAGAGAAAATGGGGAAAATGTACTAAGCACAACATCCTGCTTGGCGCTTTCCTCTTTTCCGTAAGTTGTTTATAATTTAGCTCTTAGCTCCCTAAGAAACAAGTGAGAAAATATGGAATGGTATATAGGAATAGAGTGTAATAGAATGTAAGCCACCAGTCGCAACCAAATGACAGGAAATTGCTGTTTTTGCAAATGGCCCGTTTTTATGTTCATCTTGGTGGCGCGAGATTTTCATTTTTTACTTTTCACTTCCTGTTTTTCCTGAAAATTCTATAGTTTTTTTCTGCTCATAATCATTATGAGTGTACGGAGAGTAGGTCATTTCGGCTTTGACTATTCATTCGTTAAAGTTTTAAAGTAAATAATTATATTAATGTCATTTTTAGTTCGCAATTCGTTCAAATTATTACATTAAAGTTAGGCGTGGCTAAGGTTTATCATAATAAAAGTTCAACTATGTTTATTCGAAAAGTTCTTTAATTTTAATAAATTTTGTGACAGCATAATGAGTCGTTTTTTCAAAAAAAAAAAAAAACAAAAAGGAGGATGTTTACATCGTTTTAAGTTAACTAAAGTGATGGCATGTGTCATTGAGAGCCTTTTTCTGTAGTATATTATTATTTATTATTTTATATATATTTATATTTGGCTTCTCGAAAAAAGATATGAATTTGTAAATTAAAATGAAATTAATTAATTTTATTACATTTAAATTAAATTGATTTTAAAAATCCATTTCGATGAAAGCACTTAATGCTTAATATAAACTATAGACATTTCGAACAGTAGTAAATTTCAACAATAAAAATTTATTATTTTATTAATTAATTGAATTTTTTGCTGAACATACAGCTGTTTCGAGTACTTGCAAATACTCATCATCAGTGGTTTTGCAATTATTTCTTATATTAAATTATTCGACGACTTGTCACATTTGTCCAATGAGCTCATAACATTAAATAACTAAAAACAAAAAAAAAGCAATAGTCAATATATTCTATAAAATATAAAATTTATGCTATTAGTTTAAAAAGTTTAGAGTGTTGCAGTCATCCTCTGAAGCTTTTCAGGTAAATCAAATTGTGATAATTTACTTGTCGTCTTTTGGTACTCATTTGACGAATAACAGTGCCAAAAACCTCTATAAAAGTAAGAAACTCATGCTCAAAAAATAAAATTATGTGACGGCGAACGTTGGCTTAGATAGAGATAATGTTATTCAAGTCCATGCAGGACATTATGACCAATATTTTCTGCGTGAAACGCGTTGAATTTTCGGCAACGCTGTACGAGTTTTCCCGAAAAAGCTAAATATTGATTAAAAATAAATTTGAAAATAAGTTGTAGAAGAAATGATTTCGTAGGCCTGCCTTCATAGCACGCTTCATAGAAGGCGAAACGAAGCGAACTCCAAAAATTCGCATTCAAATCACTCAATAATCAAATTCATTTGGACAGTATTTTCAGAGAACTCACAGTTGTGTTATAGTTTACCTGGTATGAAAGCTTAACACCAAAGTGTTTACACAATACGTATATCAAGATACATCTAGCAATAGCAAGATAATGAGCCGATAAATGTTCCATTGGAAAGCATTCCCTCAGTATCAATTGAAGTTATATGTTTGACTTCTCTGTGTTGAGGTACAAAGCCCAACTAAACTCCTGCTGTTCGTCACTTCATGTCACGTCAATTTAATTTTTTTTGATTAATGTGAATAATTCACCTAAACGTGGTGAATATGCAAAAATGGAGGAAGAAGAATTTCACCTTATTACTAAAAAAAAGCTTTTAAAAAAATCATTTCCACAATAAAAAGAAAAATTAACGAGCAGTGAAAAGACTTTGCACCGTCATATGGAGTGATTTAAAAAATGGTCCATAGAGCTTAGCTATAGTTACAAATACCTAGTGGTCAGGACTCAAGTAACAACTGCAGCTGAAGTCGATTCGGTTACACCACTTTTAAGTGAACTTTTACTGATAACATTGCTTTAGAAGATTTAATGACCATCGGCTGGAAAAGTTATGCCCATGACTTTCTTATTTTAGAATTTATATGGAATATTTATAATTGTTTAGCTCGAAGTTTTTTAAATCACCTAATAGGTGAATATTGTTGAATATCGTTATGAGATGTTATTATTTCTACTATATTTGTCATTAATTTTTTTTTATTTTCACATATAACAAATTTGTTTCCTGAGAAGAAACCTTAATTGAATTCAGTTGTAGCTTCAGTAACTAATTTGTGATTTTCAAAGAATCTTATTTTTCAAAAGATATAACAGAAAAAAGCAATGAATTCATAATATAGTTTATATAAATTTTGTTTTTTTAAAACATAGCAACCGCATAATAAATTTTTAATTACAATGTTTATGTATTATAATAAGAAAAATTTTTTAATATATTCTGTCAAAGTTATCAAGCATATTTATTAAAAATTTCTGTTGGTAAAACCGTAGCGGTTTTCCAAATTTTTTTATAACATTTGGAAAAGTTATAAAAAATTGTCACAGGTGAAAATTCGTTTACACAAGAAAAATTATGGACTCTATTAACGTTTCGAAAACGTTATTACTTTTCCACAAAGCCGAATTCGATGATATGTACGTGTTACATATATTCAAAATGTTGGACACCCCTCAGCATATGTATACCATAACGTGTACTGATGCAGAAAAAAATGCAGTTCGTCAAGCTTATATTGGAAGTAATAGTGTCATATATTTTTCAATTAATACCTACATGACCTTTGATCATGTCATGTTTATTGCGAGTACGTTCCAATAAACCCACTTTGATATGAGCGTAAGTACAATTTCAAGTGATATAAATAAATTATTTTTAAAATTAATAGCGAATTTCAGATAGGACAATTTACTTGTCTCGGTAACAAGTATTTGAAGCAAATACCACAACTGTTCAAATCAGAAACTCAAGATGTCCTGAAGGTGCTCATTACAATAAATATTCGGTGAAGAGTGGCAAATATTGGAACAGGTTCAATGTCTGGAATAATTTAATTATGTGATCTGCTTTTGACTAAACTTTGAATAGCCTTTAAATATAATTATACGATATACAATTTTCACAAGAGTATTCTATTTGGTTGAATCATTTCATTAGCTTCAAGAACTTATTTAGATATATAATATAAGATATACATTTTCACCTCAGTTTATTTAGTGAAATTGTTGGCACAAATATATATAGCTTGATGCACGTTATCTGAAAAACTAAGCAATATTAGCTCTGTCTTTGAATCGTGATGCCTAGAAAACTATATTTGTTTCGAAAGGTTTATCAAAATATACTTGCTATATAATTTCAGTGTCTTTATTCCGAATGAAAACTATTTTTAAAAGTTTAAATTCCAAAACTGACAGATTTAGCAACACCGCGTTATGAAATCTCAGAATGGTTTCAGGCTCCTCGGGGAGATATGCAGATCTGAGGTCAATTATTGCTTAATCTGATATAGTGATAAACAATAACCCAGTCAAGGTGTAAAGAGGAGTTTTGAAAATACCTCGAGTTAAGAAAGAGTAAAAGTGTTCAAGTGCACTGGCACAAATAGCTTCAACATAATAATACATATAATATAGATAATATATATTTATATGCTAACAGAACTCTCTAAGAAAGCAATTCACACTGACGATCAAAGACAGATAAAAGCATAGGAGTCGGAATCTACTTTATCAACCTTGTAACCAGTATATCCTAACACTTTTGAGACTCTACTTCACTTTAAAACATGTTTGAAGTCATCAGAAATTGTTTTCTAAGGATACAGGTATGGATATGAACTTTCATGAAAAAGAAGTCTATATTCTCACTCCAAATTTGGCAGATGTTAAAACTATTTCAGCAGTCTGCATTTTGCCTAGAAGAGTTTAGAAATAGACAGACAATGTATGTCTATTTCTATACAGTGACTTCAACGTAACTCTTCTTCGAGTTCCCGGACATTCTTATAAGAGCGTGCAGATGAGCTAGCTAGACTTAGTGTCTCTTCTATAAAGTCTCCCATTTTAATTCTTCTATGAATCCTCCTGTTTTAATTCCTGTTCCTGCCAGTCACAGCCGAATGTTTATTTATGACCATTTTTTGCAACACGCAAATAAGAATTGGGTTCTTATTTCCTTAGCAGCCAGGTCAAGAGATATATAGCACCTGTAGTACCAAATGTAGAGCATAAAAGTAATTCAGATCTCTCTAGAATAATATATATTCCAACGAGACACTAGACTATAGGACTGTATGGTGTCAGCTCGCTTTATCCTGTCAAATCTTCTGTAGTACAGGTCTGTCTACCAGCACTCGAAGGGAAGATACAGAAGCACCTATTATGCCTACATCTAGGTTTACCCAAAACAATGATTCAGCTATTAGGCGCTCTATTTTTTTATACACTCGGCGATATAGCCAGTATTAGTATTTGGCAGATACCTGCATTTATGAATGTGTCGAGCTGGTTCTAATATGCTCATCCTTCTGTTCACAATTATAGTGAATGTGGAATTAAAATGGATTTTTTAGCTGATTGAGGAGTGTTCGTTCCTGCTTCCACTTCAACTTCTCTCCTAAGTATTTTTTGATATTAGTTCATAAACCAAGCAAATGTAATTATATTTTACAAAAGTTATATTTTCCATTTTCTTTATTCGTTCTCTATTAAGTAGTGTACAATTTTATTCGAATTAACCTATACAAGATTTAGATAATATCCTTTCAATTGTTGGCGCCATTCGAATTGCATTCCTTCTATGCTCTAAGTTATGCCACAAATTTGTGTTTACTCTGGGAAATAAGAGAAGGACGAAAGCTTGTATATTTATGCTCTACTTACTGATTCCATTCCCGATATTCTTTTGTATGCTGAAAAAATTACATTTGGACCAATAAATTGAAAAATTAGTTCCATTACATAAACAAAGAATTATGCATACAAATTTATGTACTCTCCGATAAAGTACGCTAGGCAAGGCAAGGTAAAATAATGTTAACGGTTTTAAGGACGTAAAAACAGTAGAGGAAATCAATCGCAAAAAAAATATTAGAAAAATTTTAAATTTATAAAGAAAAACCTTAAAGTTTTTAAACTTTTTTTAAGAGAAATTTACTAGGCTTTCAGACAGTTTAAGTAAATGGGCCAAATTTTTAATTTAAAATAAAAGAAATTATGTATTTTCAAGTTTTTTCTTTCAGATGACTTTACTAGGCTAACAGACAGAATGCACATTATACACAATTTTTAAACTTTTAAAAGAAATAATTTTTTAAATTTTTAAATTTTTTTTAAGCAACTTTACTAGGTTAACAGACTTTTTAGCAACATTTTAAAGTTTCAGATTTTTATTTATAAATTTTAAAATAATTGAAAGTAGTTTTTATTTTTTGTTTTATTATAGTTTTAATCAAACTTAAAAACTTTTCTTAACTTTTCTCTATATAGGTAAGAAAATTTGTTGATAAGTAAATATATTTTCCCAAAATTCACTTCTAGTGATGTTATATGCATTCCTATGCACATTTGAATATTGCCAAAAATTGACTTTTATTGTCTGAAATTTCTGTGCTCCTATGCAAAAATTTGGAAAGAAAAAATCTTCCAAAAAAATAAAATCACTTACACAAACTTACATACACATGGTGGGTACATTAATAAACCAAATGTACACGCACATGCAATTTTACTTAAAAATGATAGTTCCCTGCCATTGTCGATGCTTGTGTGTGTGGAAATGGGAATTCATTTGCACGCAATGTGCACAGGACTAGAGACAGAGTAAAGGAAGAACCATAACCCGCCTATTTTGACTTGATAACATTTGCAACAATTGCTCCAAACTGTGCACATATGGCATTCTACAAAAATTACTCCACCTCCCTCAGCCCTCAGCCCTCAGAGCTCTTCCCACAAAACACTTTACTAGATAACAACCACAAAATAAATGAAAATAAATGAAAATAAATGAAAAGCAAGGAAGTACAAATTTAATTCACAAACTTGTTAAGAATCCTTCATCCACATAAAATATGCATACTTCGAAACAAAGCGTAAAGAAGTGCACATCAACAGGAACAACAACAACAAGAACAACAACAACTGATAACAAAAACAACAGTAACGGAAGCGAGCAGAAGTAAGACAGGGTTGTAATTGAATTTAGTAAGGCAAGCTGTGTGGACACAAGCCCATAATCAAGTTGACTGTGCTGTAGGTGTTATAAAATTGTTAGTTAGATTTAATAAATTTATTTTACAAATTGATTTAATTTATCATGTTCACATCGCAACATTATTGCTACATATTTTATTATTTCACATAACATCCTTTCTAGTTGAAAGCTGCAGATGAAGTATTGTGTTGTGAAACAAGAAGATGATAGTGTAAACATGTGCGATAAATAAACTTTTTCATTGATAATGATTTTTACGTTTTCTTCGCAAAAAAACAAAGTTTTTCAGCAAGTTCTAGTGACAATGCCTTTATTAGAACAAACGCTTCTCAGCCTCAAACTACAATTCATTTAGAATTCTTCATTTTGAAAATAATACTTCTATGAAACACATACCATCATATAAAAATCAATACATTTAAGAGTATATGTATCAATAACAGACAGTGCATCAGCTTGAATTAATTTAGGTTGATTTATTTTCACAATAAGTCTATAAGTAGTTTTCGGTTTGCGCAGTATTATTCTTGTTGACCATTACTTTCTGTAATTAGCAACGGTACAGCCAGAATTCTGACAAAAGGGGGTTGAAAATACTAAAACATTTTTAGCATCATTTTTGCAGTCTACTATGTGTAAATTATATTACTAAAGATAAATTAACTAACTATTTACCATCTGCTATGAAATTGGCACTCGTAATTGGTGTTTTTAAAATACGTTTTCATAAATAGCAAATATTTGTTAATCTTACTGAAATAAGATAGAAAAATTAGCATTATACCTATAAACATTACCAAAACTGAAGGAGATAAACCCTGGATTTTAGGATAGCCTATAGCAAAGCCCAACAGATAGAGGGAAACTTTTTGCTCTCAGATAAAACCCTTTATAATGTTTTCTGAAGATTCAAATTTATTCTTCGATAAATTTTTCTTTATCACTAACAAAATATATTCTAACGTTTCCACTCACATCGGCATCATTTTAATGGCAGCATTTTAATCTGAGATTCACCGTTTTGCAACCTAGATCGTTTTCCAACCATTGAACATATTGAAATTGCGAACATTTTATAACAGGAATATTGGTTCTCTAGTGATTCAATGATGAAAATGGTTTTTTGTTCTGTGGATATGTTAATATAAAAATTGTCAAGTATGGATCAATAAAATCCATAAATCCATAAAAAGTTAGCTAACACACACTGTGTAGTGTGACATTAGTCTATTTGAACTGAAGGTATAAATATAATAAGCGTAACCGTTTTTGAAAATATCGAAGGTGTGAAATTGTATATTCAGGTCACTATAATTACATGATGACCAATTCTTTAGAGTAAAATTAATGACATGGATCCGGAAGCTATGTGGTTTGAACAGGATGAGGTCAAAAGCCATGAAGCTTTGATGCGCGAGATATTTCCTTCATGTGTAATTTTACGTTTTGGTGATGTCGATTAGCCACCAATACTATTATTATTCATCATTATTATACTTCTTTTTGTGGGAGTTATAAAAAAGATAGAGTTTTTGAAGACAAATATAAACTACCAACCCTCCTGAAACGAACATTCATTAAGGTGTGGCTGGGTTATTGTTAACTATAAACTTATAAGTTAGCAAAATTTTTCTCAAATGAATCTAGTCTTGTGAAATATGCTATTATGGAAATGAAAATGAAAATATATATCGAATATGTTTCCTTTTACCATTTGCTTTTAAAACCGCAAAATAGATAATCCTTTTATTAATGTTTAGATCTATAAAGTAAGCTTTGTTATCAATTATCTCTTCGTTATTAGATCCATCTTTCTCAAAATATTTTTTGAGGTTTAAAAAGGAACGCTGTTAAAGCCAGGTTTGAAGACAATATGACATGAAGAAGTAATTCAAATTATTTCCCCAACATCA